TTATTATTATTATTATTATTATTATTATTATTATTATTATTATTATTATTATTATTATTATTTTCTTAGTCCATTTAGTCTTATACGATTCCGTGTCTCTCATTTTAAAGGTACCCATTCCCCCTAAGAACATTTTCGCCATAAACGACAAGAAGTCTCCGGAAGGTGCAGCTGAGGACTACGAAAACCGCCTCAAACAGCTCGTTTCTCAAAAAAAACTGCCCACTTCAAACATAACGGGGTTCCCAAAGTTCGACCTAATGCTACTTGGAATGGGTCCCGATGGCCACGTGGCATCTCTTTTCCCGAACCATCCTCAACGCCTCGAAAAGTCAAAATGGGTCACGTTCATAACCGACTCGCCCAAACCGCCCCCTCCGAGGATCACCTTCACATTTCCAGTTATAAACTCTGCCTCCGAAATCGCCATGGTGGTCACCGGTGCCGAGCTGGCAGGTACGGTTAAGACAGCATTATGTGCAGGTTGTGTTGGTTCGGGGGGAGTCCCTCTGCCGAGTATGGAAGTTTCTCCCGAAGGGCAATTAACGTGGTTTTTGGATCGAGATGCTGCTTCTCAGATGTAAAATATCTGTCAAAGACTTTACATGAATAATTCTGCTATTCAATAAAGGAAAAGATTGAAGAAAAAAAAAAAAAAATTGATTTGCAGATGAAAGATGGGAGGTGAAAGAATGTTGTTTAAAGTTGTGGAAGTGAATTTTTGTTTGTGGAAATAAAATCAGAAACAGAAGTTTTCTTTCTGTTTGCAGATTTGTTGCCCTTTTGCTTTTAACTCTGATTACATTACATTAAAGGGTGCTTGAATTTTGTGCAACTGCACCTTATTATTTGTTTACTAAGTATCATCTAATGAACATCCTCAACTTGTTCTGGTTTCTATTTTTCAGTATGCTTTGCTTGGAGTTTAAATGAACAAATGGTTATAAATATTAAATATATGTACACTGTTCGTTGATTTTGATGGCCTCATTTTGGATACAGTAAGGTTATTGTTGGTCAAATCTACCTATTTTTTAGTGAAATATACATAAATTCAAATTAAAATATGTGTCTTAAAAAATGTTGCAAATAAAAGTATGACATTTCACCGGATAAATGTAGTGTATTTTTTATAGCTTATGATTTTAGCAAAGCTGCCCGGTTTCCAGACCACTTTTCACAATTATTTTACTTTATTTCATTTGCGATTTTTAAAATTGTGACATTTTAATGCATCCCGTTATATTCGTGGCCCTTATCTTCAAAAATTAACCCGTAAAAGGCTTATTATGGGGAAATGCTACGATCCCCTTATGAAGTCATTCGAGGTTTGTAACCGTTAGATCAACTATTCTCGACGGTTACATGATGATTTAACGGTTACAAACTCCAACGAAATGATTCTGAACGAGCTGTAGCATCTCCTCTTGTTATATGTTCATCACTTTAACATTTTCATGGATTATGCTCCTCTTAAGTACGAAAGTATATAAGCTTATTGTAAGAAATTGGGGAAAAACGGGAGCTTATTGTAAGAATTTGGGGAAAAACGGGTGCGGACCCACTAACAAGAAGCGCACCATAAGCAGGGAAAGCCTGTATGAAGTCCAAGTGGAGTTTCATCTCAAAACCAATTGGTGGAAGAATGAGTAGTCCATTAGACTTATGACGTGAGTCTATTTTCTATGTATGAACGATGTGGACAATTCACAAGTGATATTCAAACACTTATTATTTATATAGACAAATTTATATTCCATTATTCCTTGAAATACGATCACGAAATTATATCAGTTAATTGGCTATAGACTCGTATATAGCATATGATAAATTGTAGCGTTTATACTTCTGTGACTATGTTGGGTCCATTTTTCCTCCCTTTTTCACTTTAGTGATATAAGCGTGAAATTGAAAGGGTTGAAAAAAATATTGTAATGATTTGGTTGTGAACTTACGAGTTCCCATTTCATGCCAACACAGTAATGTCAAATGCTGTTGCTCATTTTATTAATAATAAAAAAAATAAATGTTTCGTTCGAAAACTGAGACGTGTGAGATTATGAATAAATATGAATCAAAAGTGTAATAACTAGAATTAATGTGATGAAAAAAAATGTGATGAAAAAATAATTAAATATTAATTTATATGACTAATAATTAATATTATATAATGAAAAATATAAAATACTGATTATACTTTAATAACCCTACGAAATTCAAATCGTGGATATGCCTTTTGTTGTCAATCAGTAATTAGCTAACCACTAACATGTAGGGAATCACTTTTAACACTCAAATTATCTTCTTTTTTTTTTAATAATTTAAATTTGTCGTAAAGTTTGATTTTTATATATAACATTATTGAAAAAAAAATAATAATAATAATAATGGCAGGTTTTGAGGTCTCAACAGTCAGCGCCACCAAAAATAAAAAATAAAATAAAATAGAATTAATATAAAAGCCTATGGCAATCATATAATTTCAGAATTTGCTGATAGTGGCCACTGGTCAATTAAATCAGGCGGGCTCTTTTTGTTGGGCCCGTAAATGGAAAATGGCCCAAAGAGAAAAAAAAA